AATTCGCTCTTCAGAAACGTAAAAAATTCCGACGTTACCGCAATTCAGCCTTTATGTGTGGCTGCATATGAGGTAGGAATTACTTTTCATTACTGTATAGGTAATTTTTGTATTTTGTGGTTATTCGCGTGTTATTTTGAAAACAATGATTTTAATTATTCACCAGATGCGCTATGAAACGTGACAGAGCTTATTGTAGCAAATCCAAACACTCACCTCCCAACCCATTTTGTGTTCTTTACCATTTCCCTAGTGTCATGGGAGTAACTTATATCATTAACTGACTCGTATTCTACCGTACTAGCCAGTAATGCTCCCATTAAATTCCTACCATGGGCATTGTGGCCCACCGAACCTTACTGGCACAAGATACACAGAGCAGAACATTTCGTTTGTGGGTAACTTATTTGAAAGGGCTTTACCTCGATCAGATTAAAATTCGGCAAATGGCTCGATTAGACGTCCTTTCAACCTTCCGCTTCACTTCAGATCAATTGTTCGAATCTTTGCAATAAATACGCTTTGCCCCTCAATTTCCTCCAAGTTCTTCATGGTAGGTATCACTAGTGCCACCTGTCGTTCCGTTGATCATCGATTTGGCACCAGTAACGCTCCATCGGTCCCTGCCGCGAGCCAGTGTAGTCCATTGGGTACTCCTCCCTCTGGTACACGAGACACGATTCCTTTCGTTGGGAGCTTCCGTTAAGCTGACCGTCGTATAGTGACCGTCCTGGTGTTCGTTTGATATTTCGGTTGATCCAATCAGTGCCCGCCCTGATCTAGTGGTCACCACGGTATTGCAGGACTGTCTCCATGATCTTCGCTTATACGTCGTAAACAACAACGTTCCCGATAATCGTTAGTTGGTGGAGCCTTCACGCTAACCATAAGATCCCAAATATGCCTTTACTGAAGTTTTAGGTCTAAGTGTAGTAGGATCGAAACAAGAACTTAACGGAAGTAGAGGTACAAAGGTGAAGACTGTACGCACTTAAGAAGTATGAGTCTTTTTCAAACTGTTGCTACTGCCTAGAATTGTAACTATGTGGCTAGTGGAACCCTCCGGCTTCTTTTGCTAGGTTAAACAGTTTGTTATTTGCTTAAGCCTTTGAATACATTACTATGAGTTGTAGTTTTTCAATATGCAGTTTTTGCAACCCTTCCAGGTTCCGCTTTCTAGGAACATTTCGTTAACGAGGCTTTCAGCATGGTGCTAGACTTTTCTTTTACAGGACTCCCATGTGCCGACAGCTAATGATTCTCGACGTATACGCAGGAGATTCGAGCGTGCTGCGGCAGCTTGAAGAATCTTTTTGACGAAAAAATCGTTCAAATTGACCATTTTTTGAAATAGCTGTGCAAAGACCGAGATTATGTGTTTTTTTGAAGCGACCATCCTCATATCGTCTTCCTCGAACTTGTTGATTTCAATTGGAATAATGTCCAAAGAAATGCCTCATTGTTTCTGACTCATGCGAATTTTTCATTTTCATAAACTTATTTTTTTATCACTGAGTACTTATGTCAATCTTCAGAGCTTCCCATACGATCCACGATTACCAACCAAATGGCACTTGACTACCAATTTGAAAAAGTCCTGACGATTCTCCGGTCTATTGCTCCGAATTTCAGCAAGAATAGGAAGATATCTGGACAAGAATTACTTTTAAAGAACACAAAATCGACTCATCTTCCAGCATAGGTATTAAGTGTGTGCATTAATTTCCGCCGTTTTTTGCGTGCAAAAACATTTATTACAGAATGAAAACCAAATGTACATCAACCAATGTAATGCCCATCGTTATCTACAACTTCTTGCCATCCTTCTGGTATCTTGTTGACTCCGGGTCTAAAAAAGTCTTCATCTTTTGAGACAATCCAGTCATCCACCCATTTTCGCACTTCATCGGCACTCCGGACCGTGTATCTACCAAACTGACTTGCATGGAGTGGAATAGGTGGTAATCATAAAAAGCAAGATCCGGAGAGTATGCGGGCTGAACAAGCTGATCACGTCCAACAACTGCAATTTTTTAAAAGACATTCTTCGCAACATGGGGTCTGGCATGTTCGTGGTAGAACGGCACCTCACGATATTTTCTTGCGATTAGCGGCTGCTTGTAGGTGAGAGCATCCTACAAACTGTCAACTTGGTGTTCGTAGCGTTCAGCAGTAACGATTTTGTTCGGGCTCAGCAGCTCATAGCACACAACACCCTTTTGATCCCACCTTCAAATGCACACTTAGCATTACCTTTTGGCAATGGACTTTGTTTTCGTTGCAAACTCTCGAAGAAACCATCTCTGCAGGTTCGTTAAGATGGAACTTGTCCTCCATAAGTATCGAGAAGCATCCGGTGGGCTTCAATGTCAGTTTTCTTGAAATCAAACAGCAGGAGAAGGGCCCTCCGGGAAAACGGTTAGTCACGTTCCATGACCAATCAGTCTGAGAGGAACAGGATTTTGGGGAAAAACTAATCTGTCTGCCCTTAAGTAGGTAGCCAATACCCTTACAGAATATGACAGGTTTCACCGGTGAAGCTCCAGCATGGTTCGCGCAAAGACCTTTCCAAGTCGGCGGCGGAAATTAATGCACACACCTAATACAATTCAACGCTTTTATCCCTCCGGGAGGGTGGAGACGCTATGTAAACAAGTGGCGCACTATCAACCACGAATGATCCGAGGACGATACCCGGAACTGTATCCGAATAGGCCAACCAAGCTTAACATCCCCTCGGGGTGTGTCAATTTGTGCAACACTAGACTGAAGGGCAAAAACACTAATTGTTTGGTTCATAACTGGAAAAGTACGCAAATAAATGTACAGATAAATAAATAAATACAACTACGATTCTGGATGGAAGCCCACTCGCGTACAGCGGCGCAACCAAGAAACAGGCTTGTTTGGGGCTAGATTATTGTCAAATGCACGAATCGAGGTTAAAATGGTTACTGAAATTTTATTATGGAATGAACATATGAACATCAAGGATCACACAAGGAACACTTTCTGATCCAGAATTGGCTTAGATGAGGCGTAATAAGGGCCTCAAAACGGCTCAGCCGACGTACACACCCAAAGGCGGACGAGTTACCACGGCGTTGCAGAATGTATGGGTTGTATTCATGAGAAGCTCATGTTGCATGTAGGCGGCTGATTGTAGTAGCTGTACGCAATGGCACACACATTCAGACAAACCGACCGAATGCTCCTTTCATGCCAGTTTTTCGACATACTCTCGTTTGGCCCCTAATTTCGTTAAACATTTTGGTTCTTACAGTAGCACGAGGAATGTTATTATAAGTATTCCCAAGTGCTCTAATAAAAACTTTCTTATTGAAACTGTTTTGAACCCACTCGTTGGCATGAAATTCTCTTTTTATATGGGAAAAGTTCAACGGTCTAAAAAGCATGTCACATACCTAGCTAACCTATGTATGTACATACTACCTAACCCAAACCGGCTGGTCGCCTCCCACACGTCGAATCCTTCTTAAAACTTTCCAAAAATGACTTCTGCAATGTTTTTTTGTGCTTCCATCTGATGCAATAACATACGCTCGACAAGTTTTTCCTCAGTAATTTTATTCTAATAAAATTATAGATTTTCCAGAAAACGTCTTTTGCATAAATACTAAACAATCCAAGAAAGCAGTAACAGCTTGATACATAAGCAATCATGATCTGACATACTAGTTCAAAGAAATAGGCCTTAGTGATAAAGGAGAGTAAATAAAACAATATAATAGTATGAAGTAATGTACATCAGAGGATTCTCGACAATCTATCTCTACAGATCTAGTCATGAACTTACGAATTCGGTATGGAAAATGCTTCACCGCACACAGCGAAATACACGTATATTCATTATGAATTTGAATAAATTTTTAACTTTTTTCTTCAGCTACTGCCTCTGTCACGCTATTGTCACTTACAGTACTATTAACAGTGCTACTTTCGATTTCTTGTCGTTCCTCGTCACTCGGCTTCTCTTCAACTTTCTCCTCGGTCTTGCTCGATTCTTTTTTCTCCTCTGTCTTTTCTTCCTTCGGATGTTTTGTCGTGGTCTCCTCTTTGTGTGCTGTAATGTCTTCTTCACAGGTGATTCCTTGCTTTCCATCCGGACATTTGGCACATTCGACAAGGTTTTGCCCATTTATAAAGCAATCTCCTCCATCTCTGTAAAAGACCATAATAACAAAGAATAGTAACCTGGAAACTATGAAAAAATAACTCGATGGAACATACGCAACGAAGAAAGGGGGAGAGGGGAGGGGGTGGGAGGTAGAGGTGAGGAACTGAGTGGCATGTTACTGTGTTTGGGATTGTTAGTAGGGTTTTCTGAATAAATGTTATATAAACTGGAAAAAAGTTACCCACGGGCATGGACATATAGAGCAATCGTCACGTGTACCAGTTGTCGCATCGCCATAGAATCCTGGTGCACATCGTTCACAACTGTCGCCGGTGGTATTGTGGAGGCAAGACTGCAAGAAAAGAGTCAAGAATATGCAAAAGGTCTCATCAGAAGCACATTAACCCCTAGGAGGTCGTTAACAAACCAAAGGTATGTAGACTTACGTGCGTCCGAGGATGCGCGCAGCAAGTTGCGCGGCGATGTTCGTAACAATTC